TATAACTTCGTATTAGCATACATTATACGAAGTTATACGATGTTGTGCGCGGCAGAGGTGTCGCCCGAGGCCGACAGTGCCGACGACGACGACTCGCCGTTCTCTGCGGCGCTGGCCAGCTTGGCGATGTGGGCGCGGATGACCGGCGAGTCGGCCACGAGCGTCTCGTCGGTCGGCAGGGGCTTGGCCGCCAGGTTGATGGCCGCCATCTCGTCGTTGCCGCGCTTCTTGGCCCGGCGGACGCGCGCCAAAAAGGCGTTGCGGACGCGGCGGGCGTCGGCCTTGGTCATGCCCAGCTGGATCAGGCTCGACGGCAGGTCCGGGATGTAGGTGCTCTCGGGCGCCGACTCGCACTGGATGCTGTGCTTGCGCAGCGGGTGCTGCGTCGGGTCCTCGATGATGATGCCGCGCTTCTTGGCCCGCCGCTTGCGCGCGAGGAACGCGTTCCGCTGCCGGCGCTGGATCTCGCGCTGCTCGAGCTCCTCGGGCGTCAGGTCCTCCTTGGTGCGCGTCGAACTCGTCACCGAGTCTCGGCGCGGGCGCTTGCCGGTGCCCGAATACAGCAGCGAGGACGACTCCGACAGCCCCGAAATCGACGAGGCGGCGCCGGGCGTCTGCGGCAGCTGGCTGTCGGTGCTCGAGAAGCCAGTCGTAAAGGGCAGGCCAGGCGAGGCGTCTCCATCGTTGATGACGCCGTCGTCGTCGCCGTCGTCGCCGCCAACGGCCTTTTTCCCTGTCTTCTTCGGAGAGCTTGCGCCCGCTCGCGTGTTGATCTTGGCGGGACGGCCCTTGCCGGCAGCCGCCTTGGCGTGGCCGTTGGCGGCGACAGCCGAGGTGGACGCCGCGTCGGCCTCTTGAGCGCCGGCCGTGTAGAGTCGTAGGGCGGTCTCGCTGAGTTTGGAGCCCTTGACCCGGCTGCCGGACGGGACGGCGGCCGGGGCGGGCCCCGACGCGGTGCTGCTGCCCGCCGGCTTGACGGGCAGAGGCGTCCAGTTGGGTGGCACATTGACGTCCCTCTTGAGCGCCTTTGGGTCGAGCCGGTCGTTGGCCCGCTGCACCTGCTCGTCGGCCAGGCGCAGCCGCTGCTCGGCCTTGGCAAAGTCGAACTGGCAGTCTCGCAGCCGCTTCTCGGCCTCGTTGAGGGCGAACTGGACGTGGCGAGGGTTGAGGCTGACCTTGCTTGGGGGCGTGGTGCCCGAGGCGTTGCGCGACGAGCTGCCGTTGCTGCTGGGGGGCGCGAGGCTCTTCTCGTGCAGCTTCTGGAGCTCGGCGACCTCGGCCTCGGCCTTGGCGGTGGCGCGCTTGTTGCGGTCGTACTCGGCCTGCGCCTGCTGCTGCTTCTCCTGCGCTTCGACCAGCTCCTTTGAGCGGATGCGGAACTCCTCGTCCCAGCGCAGGTCGGCCTCGTCGGTGGTCGGGTAGCTGCCCTCGGCGCGCTCGGCGGCCACGTCGTCGCGCTCGCGGTGCGCCGGCGGGCCGATGTCGCCCAGCAGGGAGCTGTCGTCCGAGATGGTGAGGCTCGTGTCGCGCGAGCTGCCCGGCTCCGGCTCGCTGTTGCGCTTGGCCAGCTGCGTCCGCCGCTTGAGCTCGGCGCGCTTGGCAATCACCTTGGTCGCCCGCTTGGCCACCATGGCCTGCTCCTGCTTCTTGCGGTTGCCCAGGCCCGAGCTGCCGACGCGCGTGCTGTTGTGCGACAGCACCTGCTTGGTCAGCTTGGTGGCCATCCCCTTGGGCTTCCCCGCCTTTTTCTTGGCGGCAGCCTTGCCGCCGCTCTCCTTTTTCTTGGCCGCGGCGTCGGTGGCTTTGGCCGGCACGAGCTTCTTGCCGCCCAGCACGCCGGCGCAGTTGGCCGCACCGCAGTAGCACGGCTCCAGCACGGGCTCGCCAATGTAGTCGCCCGAGACGGTGCGGGGCCGGAAGTAGGACCAGCCGTAGTCGTACGTGAGTTCGTCGCCGGCCTTGATGTCCTTGAGCGCAAACAGACCGATCTGAAAGTCGGCCGTGCGGCTCTCGTCGGTGCCGCACAGCAGCCACTTTTCGATGTAGCAGTTAGGGTCGCAGCTGTGGTTGGCGAAGCGGGTGATGTTGCCCTTGCGCCCTCCGTCGAGGAACTCGCCGGCGTCGTGGTCATAGCTGAGGAAGTAGTAGTTGCCCGTGAGCTTGTACTCCTCGGTGCGCCGGTTGGTCTCGGCCTGGTCGATGACCTCGCCGCGGTACTCGTCGATGAAGCTGCCCTTGGGGACGTCCTCGAGGCTCCGCAGCCCGAAGCCGCGTGGTCCACACTGTGGCAGGGGCAGGGGCAGGAGCAGGGGCACGGTGCGGCAGCGGGTTCGAGGAGCACGTCGGGAGGTAGGGGGGAGGTCGAGTCAGCTCAGCCTCGTCTCGCGGGCAAGGGCCAAGTTGGGCCGGTGACGGATCGGCCAGGCTGCGGCGGGAACTCACGTAAAAGACCTCGGTCTTGACATTGGGCCGCTTGCCCAGGCTGACATTGGTGCACCGCTCGCCGCAGGGGCAGTTCTTGGGGCTGCAGACGTACTGGAGGATTCGGTTCATGCAGTTGTCGCCGCAGTTGGACGACGGGTGACACTGGCACTGCGGCAGCTCGCCCTGCAGCTTGGGCCGGGAAAAGTACTTGTTGGCCTTGATCTGGGCATAGTGCGGCGGCTTCCGCTTGGCGTCGAGCTTGGCCCGGATCTTGGCAGCATCCTCGATCCACTGCGGCGGCAGACGGAAGTTCCTCTCCTCGACGAGCAGCTGGTGGCCAAAGTGCAGCGGCAGCGGGAAGGCGGGCTGGGGATGGCTGCTGCCGCTGCCGTCGCCGTCGACGTCGCCCTCCGCGCCCGGCATGACCGAGTTATCGCGCGACGTGCTATTGTAGTAGAGCCCGCTCACGTGGTCGTCCCACCGCTTCGAAGTGGCATACTTGGGACGCTTGGCCGGAGCCGCCTGCGACGACGACGGCGCCTCGCTCGCCGGCCTGCTCGAATTTGCGGGCGAAGACGACGACGACGATGACGGCAATGCCGCCGCCGCCAAACGATCCGCCAGGCCCCGAAGGCGAGGACCCTCGCTATCGGATGCGACGTCCTGTGCGGGAGTGGCAACTTGGCCGCGCAAGACCCTGCCCGTCGTTGCAGGTGTCTGCTCTGCCTTGGCCGCCTGCTTGGTGGTCTCGACGGCCGCGGCTGCAGCCGCTCGCGCCTTGGCGGCGTGTGCCTTCGACGTCTCGGC